GTCGTTACATGCGACCATCCAGCCTCTCGGCCTTAATCATGATGGATTTTTTGTCTTCGAGCACATGTCCACCCTCAATGGGGTGGTCGTTACATGCGACCATCCAGCCTTTCGGCCTTAATCATGATGGATTTTTCTTCGATCAGTCATTCAACACAGGCCACCACATATGCACAATAAAATTAAAACAATCGATTAGGCAAAGTGTTGAAAATTGAAATGGAAATTTCATTAATCAAGATTGAGAATTCAATTACATCATTGTTGTGAAAAGTTTCCAACAAGAGAAATAGGAAAAAGGAAAAAAAAAATTTAAACATAATATTTCTTCAAGTTAGCCACATTCCATGACCTGGGGAGTGATCTTCCATTGACTCTCCAACCGGCTTGAAATTGGGGACGGATCGATTTTAAACATAATTTTAAACATAGGGGACGGATCCAATGAGACTACTCCTTAAAATGAGTACGTGAGACTCAATCTTAGCCACTCATTTTGTCTAGATCAAAATTAATTAAAATATACATTAATTAAATAATAAAATAATTATTAGTTGACTCTGGCGTTGACCGTTGACTCCGGCGTTGACTGTTGACTTTCGGCGTTGACTACGGCATTGACCCGTTGATAACTAACCTAGCAGTAAGAAATAAATAACCTAGTAACAAAAGACAACTAACCTAGCAACAAGAAAGAAATATCCTAGCAATAAAATACAACTAACCTAGCAGCATCAGACAACTAACCTAACAGCAAGAAAGAAATAACCTAGTAACAAAATACAACTAACCTAGCAGCATCAGACAACTAACCTAGCAACAAAACACAACTAACCTAGCAGCTACAAATAACTAACATAGCAACAAAAGACAACTAATCTAGCAGCAAGAAATAAATAACCTAGCAACTTAAGACAACTAACCTAGCAACAAAACTCAACTAACCTAGCAGCAAGAAATAAATAACCTAGCAACAACAGACAACTAACCTAGCAACAAAATACAACTAACCTAGCAACAACAGTACTGAGCAGAAAGGACATATGGCAAGCGGAAATTACGCTAATAATAAAAGAAAATAAAGGACAGTTAAAGTGCACCATAAAATCGATCGAGTGGTCGAAGAATGGTGGTGGCATCAACCGAAACGATCGAGAGAGGAGGTCATATGTGAGCAGGAGATCGAGAGGTTGGCAGAATGGAGAAGACAGCTCGAATTCACTCTTAGATTGAGTCATTTCGACTCGACCAGAGTGGAGGGGACTAGATGATATGGGATATTATATAGCTAAAGAATAGACCGATTTACCACATTGGTCGGGCAAGCTCAAGGTAGAGAAAACTGTATTGGTCTAGGGATAATCCACCAAAAGGGAAAAGATCGAGCGGAGTAGCAAAACTGGTCGAGGATCGTAGCGACGGGGGACTCGGTCAGATCAAGCACTCAACAGGTGAAGAGCAGTCGAGAGCGTGGCTTGAACGCGAGAAAGCGCGTGGGTGGCGTTAGAAGATCTTAACGGGATGCGCATAGAATAATCTCCCTCTACTCAGAGGGACACGTGGCGAGATTACATCGGTGCAGAGCAATAGTGGTGATAACCACCTCTGACGCCTCTAACTCACGCATACTGTGTGTGTACGGACGGACAGTACGGGCAGGACAACTCACCAGATCCGGGTAGCTCCTAGGGCATGTACCTCACTCATATATATATAGGAGTGAGTCTTTTCTTGTGACTTACAATTTATCCATTACATACTTTGGAGAATTGAGTAAAATATACACTGACTTAAGCATCGGAGGCTCTTCACCGGAAAACCCCTCTGGTGTGAGAGTTCTGTGCAGGTGCGCGGCGTTCTACCGGCGAGGAGGAGGAAGACGAGCCGATTTCAAGCCGGTCGGAGTGTTTTGCGTTACCAAAGTTAATGGAGATAACCGTTAGATAAAAGGGAGATCTAACGGTTGGGAGAATTTAAAGGGTGTGGATAGCGAAGCGGCACAAATCGTGAGAATACGCGATGATTAAAAGTACTAAACAGATGGGACGCGTGGCAGACGGAAACCACATTAATAATAAAGGTGGAGGAGAGGCATTCGAAAATCCACCATAAAGCCAGTCAAATGGTCGAAAGATAAGATCAAATTCAGTCAGAAGGTCGAGAAACCAGCAAACCGAAGAGGTAGACACAAGCTCACTCTTAGATCGAGTCATTCAGACTCGACCAGAGTGGGGGGACTAGATGATATGGGACATTATATGCCTAAAGAATATTCTGGTTCACTGGGCCGGTCGTACAAGCCCAATATTGAAAATGCTACATCAGTCGAGCAATAGCAGACTGAAAGGAAGTGGTCGAGCATCGGAGAGGACCTGGTCGAAGATCGACCTACCGAAGGAGAGCGTATTTGATCGACCACCTGGCGAGTGAAGAGCAATCGGGGGCGTGGTGTGAACGCAAGAAAGCGCATGGACTTCGTCAGAAAATCACAAAGGAATATTCAGAGGAATTATTACTCTCTATTCAGAGGGGCACGTGGCGAGAAGATATTGGTGCAGAGCAATGGTGGCATAACCACCTCTAACACACACACACTGCGTGTGTACGAACGGGCAGATTCGGGCAGACAGCTCACCAAATCCGGGCAGCCCCTAGGGCCAGTATCTCACTCCTATATATATAGGAGTGAGCCTTTCTTGTTACTTACAATTTTATCTGTTTTCTTACTTTAGAGAATTGAGTGAGACACATACTGACTTAAGCATCGGAGGCTCTTCACCGAAAAAACCCCTGATGTGAGAGTTCTTTGCAGGTACGCGGCGTTCTACCGGCGAGGAGGAGGAAGACGAGCCGATTTCAAGCCGGTCGGAGTGTTTTTCCTTACCACATATGTTTTTATTTATTAACGATGTGGGAGATTTCAACGTTTATTTGACGTTTATTAAATAGAAACCCCTCTATATATAACTGCAGAATGCGCTGAGCGTAAGTGTCAGCCTCGCTTGATTCGAAATCCTACGAAAAACATGCTTCATAGTTTGGTTTAGATAAAAAAATAATATTATTCTAAATCAATAATTTTAAGTTCGGACATTCCAAAAATATTGAAAAACTAACTTGTTAATTCCATAATAATTTTACTAATATAACCCTTAAGTTGTATTGGAACATTTGGTAATGGTGTTGATTGACTAATATAACCTTGATTTGTTTTGGAACCTCTCAATCGAGCTCATTAATTTTCATAAAAACATCAAGTTAGCCTAATAAATACATATATTTAAATTAAATAATTGTTGTTGTTATTATTATATAAATTTAAAAATAATTATCTTTATAAGTACAGTATAGTCTACGGGTATTGTAATAGGTTAGATTTATTACCAAAGGATCTCCAAACAGACCCAATAAAAAAACGGATATAGTTTGTGTGCAAGTAAATTCCTCACCATTGAAGAATGAACGGTGTGTTAGCTTCTACCAGTCACCAGTCTAGGGTTTATCCATCAACATTCGAAGCTCGTCTTCCACTTTAATCACTCAGCTTTGAAAATACATTCTGGAACTTGTTATAAGTCGTCTTTTCCCCATTCATAGAAGAATGAATTCTTCCCAATCGTCTTTCTCTCTGATGCTGTATTTGAGAAGATTTGCTGTAGTTGCGGATTCTTCAGCAGGTCCTGTCCTATCCCTATCGTATTGATGTAAATCACAGCTACGTTTATTTAATTTGTATTTTATTGCTTGAGTTGTAAATGATGTAACTGGATTTTTTCATTAGCAGAAGTGCATAACACTCTAGCAATTAAGTTTTTTTGAAATAGTTTTGATTTACATGTTTTAGTTGATGCATTAATTAGAATAGTATGGTTGTATAGACATTAAAATTTTTAGTTGCATGTGGTTAAATTGAGAAAAAAAAATCATTGTTGTTGTTAGGTGGAAGAGTTTCCAGTTGAAGTGATTTGGAAAAGATTGGATGTAATAAAAGAATGGTAAAGAGATGATGAAGAATGTGTTTGGTGGTAAAGAGAAGATTTTGTAGCATATATGGATTTCCCCTTGTGATCATGGTAATTTTATTTCCTTTTCCTTGAACTTCATGATTATGCAACGAAGTTTATGAAATTATTGCACAAATATTTCTCATTTATATTTGCTGAAGTGTTTTTGTATTTATACTGCTTTGATCGCTTGAGGCCATCTCAAATGTTGGGAACATGTTTACCATAGAAAATGTGTTAAATGGACTATCGGTGAAAAGTTGAAGGCGAATGACCTTACTATTCTTCTTTAGTATGAAGAGATATTTTAGAAGTGATGAAATAAAAGTGAGTTGATGATTGTTGATGCTATTTTTTTTATTTGGTTTAAAATAATTGCTATATGCTTTTTTATTTTCCTTGGAAAAGTTATATGTTTCCAACAGTTTTGGAATCTGGTAATTATTTATATACACGTTTAATGTGTGTTTCACATTCTCAATTAAAATATACTCACTGAAGTTATTTTGCCATACTTGNAAAAAAAAAGCAAGTTAAGAAGGAAAAGAACTTCAGAATCCTAAAGTTGTGTCATGATAATTTGCTATTTTATGATCATTTCACATTAACTGCACGAGTTTTCTCTGTATTTAATGTAATTAGTTAAAGAAATATATCAAGTTTCTTTTGGTGCTAATGTAGTGCAGATATTGAATTCCGATTTATTTTTTCCAGCAGCTAAATTAACGGCTTTGTTTGGATTCGTCTTTTACCGCTTATCCATTTATAATACTATCCTTCGATATAAACCTTCTTAAGGCTCTCAGCATTTTAATTATGAAAAGTAACCAAACATAAAGAAATGTAACCCATCAAAAATTCAAAACACATTAAAGTATCATAAATTGTTCTTCACAACACACAATGTACGTGACTAATAAAGTATCACCCTTATTCTTTTTATTGTTTGGGACCTATGGGTAGTTTTGTGAAAAGTGAAAACCATATTTCACCCTCTTAGACTGACGAGCATCCACGGGCCACTTTTGGATCATTAATGTCCGCTCGAATTCTTAGTGCAGAATATCCTTGTCTTTGCCGTCTTGGTACATCCCTAGTCCGTGCACCTTGTGTTTGTGCACGATCTTGACTCGATTTCTTTTTTCCTCTATTATTCCTTAAGTATCAAAATTATTCATAAAGAGCAATAAGTTTATATCAACAAGCATTTTAACTAGATGATGACTTATTAATGGCATGTAGTGCATGTTTATCGCATTTTGCTTCCATCAATAAATCAGTGCACAATGATTTACACTTTTACATTTTAACGACTAAAATATTTGTAATTAGGAAGAAGATATTATTCGGTGTGTTTTACTAAGAAATCCTACTTCATCAGTATGTCGTATTGACATTAGTGTAATGCTTTAAAAGAGTGGTCAAACATGTGAATTTTTGTGCCCTGGTTTTGTTGATAGAGATGTATTTTCATTCATAGATATATTCGGCTCAACGACAGCAAGATCTGTCGTTAAAATGTTAGTGTTCGACAGTCATATACACAAGACAAAATCTTATTTCACAAGAATGTTGTACTAATATAGTCTTAATATCTCATGAGTAATATGCATTAGAAGAACCTTAAAATGTTTATCATATATAATTGTACATAAGTATTATAGTTATAAAAGTTAATTCATCTTTAGTTCTCCATGTTTGTATAAAATATGTGGACACATGCGAAAGCATGAAATAAAGGATAACGAACAAAACTAATAGTATAATAAGAACACTAATTAATTTGAAGAAGATGTAAGCCTATATCTTTTGTCTTTTACAAAAAAATCGAAACTTTGTTCTATAATGGTTTGAGCAACTAGAGTTAATTTTGAAAAAATGTGGTATGGTTAGTTGTTAGTGGGATTTTAAAAATGTATTAAAATAATATTTAAAATAAAATGATTAAAATTGATTTGATGTAAAAGTATGAGATAAATGATTGAAAATGATTGAGAATAATAGATAGCTAAAATTATGTGAGTAGATGAATAGTGAATTAAAGTTGATGTGATGTGTAAGAATGATTGGGTTGTATATATTAATCATATGAATAATATTAAAGATAGTGGGATTGTTTTAAAGTTGAGTTAGATTTTTTAGTATGAATTAAAAGTGAGTGAAATAATTAATAAACAAACATGCCTTAATTGTAAACAAGAATATAGTAAGATACTCAAATCAATCCTGAAGGAGGATTATAAAATATTAGAAGATAATAAAACTACATATTCATTACTTGGAAATAGATTAAATGCTAGTTAAAGTTTTCTCATTTTCTTGGTTCAACCGGCTAAGTTTGAGTTGAAATAAAGATGTTTAATATGAAACGAAATCGTTAAAATACATTTTTCACCTCAGCTGTTCTCTTGCAAGGGGTCGCAACGGAACAATGTTCAAGCAAACTGGATAGCTATGATCCAGAGGATTATCATTTGTTTCTTCAACCTGTATATCCAAAATAAATAAATAATAATTAATTTTTTTATTACAAAAAAAATAATCATCAATTGTCTTTTATTAATGCGTCTAGTAGTAGTTACATATAAGGGTTGTATCTACCTTGTGGCTTTCACATTGAGAATCATGTTGAGGTCTTGTTACAGGAAGCAAATAGGGTTCTGAAGAATCAACAGACTCTGTAGTTGCACTTTCATTGTGTCAATTTAATACCATCGATTAATAAAATAATAAATTAAATATAAAAAAGGTGAAGGAGAAGATTTAACGATTGAACATTTTTTTTTCTAAACAACATAAAAACCTAGTCCCTTAAGCTACTTTGATGGTGTTATGAAATTAATGAAAAGTAGATTTGCGCTTCTCATTTTTTGTGGAGTTCAATCTCTTTCTATATTTTATTAAAAATTTATCATAATTATATTAATGGAAAAAAATGATTTCATTACATAATTATATATTATTAAAACCCCTAATTATTAAGAAAACTTTGCAAAAGAAATTAAGAAATAATAATCACCAAACAAAATATATAGCAATTCAAAGAAAGCTGACCATCATCTGAAAAGCGATTCATTTTCCGAAAGGCCAATCTGGAACTCTTCAAAGATAAACAAGAAAATCTGGACAAACTTATGATAAGAGAACAATTTAAGTGACTTTGTATAATTGAGAGTGCTGAATGATTTACCTGATTATATAGATGATAAAGAACTCTAGGATGGAGATAATTTTTGTTAATTGGACTTCATAAATATGGTCATTAGCATTAATTACATTAATTTTTTTCTTTGGATTTTTTGCTTTAGTTTTAGGCATCAGATTTGAGTAATCACTATTACAAATTCCCTAGTCGATATTCAAAATTTCATGATAATACACCTGTCAATGCTTATAAAACATGACTTTATTATGTTTTACCAATTGGTTCTATCACATCCTAACTTCAAATCAGCTATGTTAAGACAAGTATGTGTTGTTGAACAAATATGTATTACTTGAATTGCTAAATACGTGAAGATTATAGTGAAGAAACAAATTCAAATTGATTTTTATGTTTAATTCCATGCCATATTTTGATGACATCACATTTACAACGAAAATGTGATTTCGTCATTATTAAACCAACCCGTAAAGCAGTACTTTTTATGTTTTTATTTTTCAATATTAAATGATAAATGGCATATGGAACTCAACCAACCAACTCTTTCATGCAGTGTTTTAAATACCGTAGCTATGGTTATATACTGGTTTGTTTTTAAATAGTTGAATTGGTTTAACCGCCAATTTTATCAGTTTTAATATATGTATAATTATTATTTAAATTTATGATTACGTTATTGTTAAAGGATCTGCTCACATCAACCATGAGGTGGTGGAGACTTTGCATGAAGATAATGAATCTCGTCTCCCAGCTGGCAGCTCTTTACGAGGAAAACCCTAACCGTAAGAATTGTAGTCTTGGGTGAGGTAATGCTGAAGCAACACGTGTTTCTTATCCTCATTAATGATATTTTGCAGCTGCATATCCATTGAGTGTTTGTGAGATATTCGAAAAAAGAATGAAACATATTTTCCATTTTCATTGGCATTAAACTGAGCTTCTCTTTGTGAATTAATGGAAACTGTTCCCTACTGTTCAATGCTTCTTGGTAAATGCTAGTAACCTTCTAGTATGGGGACAACAAATCCTCACTACCATTAGAAGATACGACTTACTTGGGTGTAAAATTTTGGATTCTGCATTTTTATTAGATTGTGTTCTCTGTGAAATTTATGGTTTTCTCGTTGGAATTACTCAATTTCGATGAGAAATGATATAATTATGCTTGTTCCAAGTTTTGGTCAAATAAGGGAAAAAACAAAAGTTTCAGAAACTTGAAAAACTCGTTTGTTAGAAGATGATGGTATCAGCACCATGTGAACCATTTGTTTGTACCACAGTGTACGGTATCAAAAGCCACGCTGAATCAGCATGCCAAGTAAGCCATTGCCTCGTCTTTCATTGAACACATGGGAGCTAGTGTTATTTATACCTTTTTCTCAGTATCCTTTTTCACATGCGAGTGTGTTTTCACACTTAGACGAGCGTATACGATTTTTTGACATTTTACTATCTTAGTATCCTATTTCATGTACGAGCGTGTTTTCACCGACGATTTTCTGACATTTTTCTTGTAAGTAATGTGAACGCTCATGTTTTTCAATATACTCTTAATGAAGTATTATGGGGAGCGGAAAATTCAATCCTATCCACGTGGTCCACACATCCACACGAATAAGAATAAGTATGTGTTGATCCAACGGTTAAAATTAAAACAGGTAGGGTGAAATCCATTGATTAGGAGCGTCTCACTGTATACAGTTAAAAAAATTCAATTCTACTAGTGAAAGAATGTGTGTTGATCCAATGATTAAAAATAAAATAGATAGGGTGAAGTCTCACTGTATACACTTAGAAAAATTCAATTCTACTAGTGAAAGAATGTGTGTTGATCCAATGATTAAAAATAAAATAGATAGGGTGAAATTCACCGATTAAAAATACACTCAGAAAAATTCAATCCAATCAGTGAAAGTAGTACCCTTATCACACTCAGAAAAATTCAATCCAATCAGTGAAAGTAGTATCCTCATCACACTCAGAAAAATTCAATCCAATCAGTGAAAGTAGTACCCTTATCAGGTATTTATTATGTATCACACTCAGAAAAATTCAATCCAATCAGTGAAAGTAGTAGCCTTATCAGGTATTTATTTATGTATCACAAGCACCTTACCCATGAGTGTTAGAATGTGTAATTCGATGGTAAAAATAGAAAAATCATTCGAGAAAAACCCATATGGGTGTTTCAATGTATAATTGGATGGTAAAAACCTGATGAAGCCGAAATCAGTCGGGTAGAAAATCACTCGAGAAAAAATTGCGTTGATCATTTTAATTGTGTGAATACTAAATTAAGAGTCGTGTTTCTAGAAACACTCAAACGCGTGCCTAAGACCTGTCCAACTGGACAATCCCAGCTAAGCGCCATTTTCTTCAGAGCTTAAAGACCAAAGGTCAGTCAACAAGCACAAGGCTTTAACAAAGTTCAGTCAACACGCACAAGGCTATAACATACACACACGAAAAGTAATCTTAACTAGTTATTAACAACGAAAATGAGCTAGGAACACATTCCTTTCTCTCTACATCACGAAGGACACTCCATAAGGAAAAAGGCCACTTTATTAATTCCTCGGATCTTCATTCTAGTCTCTTCACAGCTAGCGGTAGCAGTAACACAACGACCGTTAGATATGTTTCCTAATAATATTCAGCATAAATATTTATGACTTTTTTTAATAAAAGAAAGAAAAAAAGGAACAATGATAGTTAGAAAACCAACTTTCTCCTAGCCAAATTGGAGTTCAATCTGTTTCTAGAAGCCAACAACACAAGATCATAGATGCTATCACATATCAAATCCTTAAATATCAACCTCTCCATGTCCAAAACCGCCTCCGAAATCTCCACCGGAAAATCTCCCCACGGACCTTCGGCTAAATCTTTCTTCAAAACACTACAAATGGACTCGAACAAATCTTCCTCCTCACTCTTCTCCCTTTGTTGTCTCATTCTTTCAAACTCAGACCATACATTTTCGAGAAATGGTGTTGCGCAATCGTTAACGCTGCACGAGACTATGCATTTAGCTTCCCAAGGAGGCAATTGTCTCTGTCTCTCGACAATTTCCTCGGTTATATGGAAAATTAGCTTCCTTTGGAGCCTAGCGGCTTTGGATGTGCTCTTCCCTTTGAGGTATTGCTGCTTTTCGAGTAAAACAAAGATATCCGAGTCCTCCGGGAGATAATGGATTGCTTTTACGATTTCTGAGATGTAAATGAAATCCGAGTCGTTCGATGCTTCGATGCATTTGGTGGAAATCAAAGGGCTCCATATTTCTTCTTCCAACTCATCTGTTGAAGGCAATAGTTGGTCATAAACATAAGTTAAGGGTGTGATCGGATATGAATTTGATTGAGAAAAAAAATAAATAAATAAAACTAATCGTTTTTAACTCAATTATTTTTTTTAACTCAACTTTAATCCAACCCCACTATTTTCAATATTATCAATATAATTAAATAATAGCAATAATCATTCTAACACAGCACATCAACTTTAATTCACTATTCGTACACTCACATAATTTTAACTAACTATCACTTCACATCATCACTCTCTTACTTTTATATCAAATCAATTTTAATTATTTTATTCTAAATATTATTTTAATATAAACTCAAAATCATATTAACAACTAATCATATCATATTTTTCAAAATTGACTATGGTTAACAAAAAAATTCATCAAAACCAAATCAAATTGCCGGATTTTGCTATGCAGTTTTTATTTGGATTTTGAAATGTAATAAAAAAAAAATCCAACTTTAAGTAGGCTGTCAATCCTGGGAAATGAATCCTCCATACTTCAAAACTAGTACGTAACCCGTGCGATGCACGGAAAGTAAAATTTGGAAGAATAATATAACCTCACGTGTATTAGGATCGAAATTGAAATCATTAAAATACATAGGAACATTGTTGAATCATAAAAAGTTTGGTAACAATCATATATTATTAAAAACCTCCTTGTACACAACATTATGAGTTTGATTATTTGGTAACTCCTCATTATCACAAACTAATATTTTCAAAAGAGACAAATCCTAAAAGTCAAACTAATATTTTAGGATTGGTGAACAAACTAATATTTTAGGATTTCTAGGATTTGTCTCTTATTAGTGAACAAACTAATATTTTAGTATTGGTTATATGAATTAGGCTACTTGTTTTTGGTGTTCTTTTCATTCATTTTCATCAAACAATCCGATGACTTGTATAATGAAATCCGAATCTTAAGCCGAAATATTTAAAAAAAGAGTTTTTAAAAATTGAAAAGTCAAGACAATCAGTTCAGATTAATTAAAGGTCAAAGAATATCCGCTCCTTGAAATAAAGACGTGTGCTATCATTAACCAAATATCCGGTTATTGATATAGAGTGGTTACCAAAAAATAGAACGCGATAAGGACGCTTCATGGAAATATCAATGGGATAAGGTCATAACAAATTACTATACATTTTAACGATAAAAGCTCAGATGGAATAATTTATGATAATTATATCGTAATTAATGAATTAATTAGAAGTGTGAAAAGGACATAATTAATGAGAAGTGTGAAAAAGACATAATTAATGAGAAGTGTGAAAAGGACATAATTAATGAGAAATGTGAAAAGGACAAAAACTTACCGGTTTTGGAAAATATTTAATGCAAATCCGACATTGACCATAATTTGACCTACTATTTTGGATAAATGTTAATTCTTATTATATAAGTATAGATGAATAATTTTTGTATAATCTGGAGAGAGAACAATGAATAAAAAAAAATGTAGGGCCAATTTTTTTAATTTATTTTTTCACATTTTTATTCATGATTTTATATTATAATAAAGAAAAGAGGTGCTATTTCGAGGCATGGTCCAGTCCATGTGATTTATATCATAGACCATCCTCACATCCCAAATCTCACCAAACCCCATTTTCCATATCTCACCACACCCTAGCCTAGCCTAGCTAGAATATATAACATAAAACTCTTCATCTCCAATCACTCTCATCATACAATTAATTCCCACATTTAAGATAGTTTCAGTTTGTTGCTTTATAGGCCCAAGAGCCCCATAAGATCTCTCTAGACTACCACCCAAAGTCAAACTAGGAGTTTCAAGGTAACTACCATAGCAGATGAGCAATTCAATACAACCATATTTGTTTCCAGAACTGATAAACACAAAAATAACAAAAATTATTAAGTTGGTCAACCTAATAGTCGGGTCCTCCCTTCATATTTTTTTCAATAAATGCCTAGTAATGCAATAAATAGTTATGCTTTCGTTTATGTTGTTTTCTAGAGTATAATATTTGAGTAGTAAAATATATACATAAGTTGAAAATATATGAATACATAACCCGTACTTAACAACAATCTTAATAAAATAATAATTCTAGTAATGAACAATAATGAGAAAATTAACTTTATAATGATGGTGAAATGTAAATAATTGATTCAGTATGTCAATTTAAACGATGGAGCGTTTGATGATGCTACTGCTGACTGTACTGGACTCATGGGGTTTTTCATCTTTGGATCAACATACACACATACCCACATGGATGTGTGTTGATCCTATAATAAAAGGTGAATTTATTCTCAAACATGATTGTTTTCTCTCTTCCCTTGGTACTAATTTGTGACTTAATGGGAGGCCCCAATAAACTTTTCTAGGTACCACACAAAAGGTCACAAAAAATGGAAAATTTACAACCCAAATTATTGCACTTAAAATTTAGCTCAATTAACGTTATCAGGGAGGTACACTGAAATAAAAAATTAGGGCTATACCCTGATTGATTGTAATTAAAATGGCAATTAAACAAAAAAATGAAGCATCGTGAAGTTGTGTTGTACCTTGGAAATCAATATTACGTTTAGTTGTAACTGGCGAAGGGGTCAATGACTCGTCCCTGTAAAACGACGAGTCGAGAACTGAAACCGGACTCGGCTGCGGATCGGTTGCGGACATCTCCGCTATGCTGTGAAGCAGCTGATCACACCTCTCCAACAGGTTCCGCCCCTCTTTGGATTCCTCGGATTTCGTCCCCTGCGATTGGCAATCAGTCTTTATAAATACAATTTGAGGGCAGTAAATTAAGTAGGGCCGACCTTGGACTTAAGCCTTTATCGAGGTGAACTAAACAAGTCAAGTCGAGCTCAAGCTTAACTGAGTCAAACTTTAATTTTGTGTAAATGAAATATTCAAGCCTCGATAACAATTCAAGTTAGTGCTGTAATCAAATTGAAGGAATTGAGTTTTTGGCATTTCGAGCTTTAATTGTTCGTCAAAATTCGAGTTTGCTCGTGAATAATTTTGGACACAAACTTTTTAAATATACTTCATTAATTTTAAATAAGTTCGTTCGAACTCGAAAATTAAAAAAAAAAAAACAAATAAATAAATATATTTTCATGTTTTATATTTTATATTAAAAATATCATGTAAATATACAAAAATTAAAATAAAATTATATTAAATTAATGTTCGTAAACGAGTTCATATTCATTGGATTACGAAACGAGCTTTAATTTTTATTCGAACTACGCTCGATTAACAAACGAATGAGCTATTGTCGAATACGAATGAGCTCGAACAAGTATTTGTTCGACAACGTTCAATTCGTCGTTGAAGCCCAAGATAGTTCACTAATTCAATTCGTCGTTGAAGCCCAAGATAGTTCACTAAACGAGCCAATGAACTCGCTCTTCTAGTTTAATATCAGACGATTTTGAGCTTGGCTCGAGCCCTTAATGAAGAATAATTTTCGAACCTTAACGAGTTGATTTCGTTTAATAGTTTTAATCAATGGTCAATTAATTAGGTTAATGCTAATCACATGCTTAATTGAGTTGATTAACGCGTTAATTATGCTACCTCTGTATCGGTGGATGTGGTGATACTACTGCTGCTCCCTGAAATTGACGAGGATTCATCCCCAAAAACGACGGCGTTTGGGGCAGTCCCTTTCGTTTGAGTCGTTTTCTTGCACCTGGGCGACCGATTAATGGCCGTTGGATCTGTTCCTGATCTTCTCGCATTGGGCTTTGGGGAATTGGCCGGAGAGGCCCCACGATTCTCCGCCGACTTGTTTGTCCTCCTCGTTCGAGTTTCAACACCTGAGGGCTTCGGTTTCACCAGCGAGCTTGACCGGCTCGTCGGGCTCGGGCTTCTACCCGCCCGGGTCGGGCTACGCGCGTTTCGCTCTCTCCGGGGACTTACCGTTGGCGGCGTCTCCACGTGGCGGCGGACACGATTGCTGCGGTTGGCCGGCGAAAAATTGATTGAGGTCGGAGGTGGAGGTTTTATGAGGACGATAGGGGAGCCGTCGCGGACGAGTTTGCGGTTGCCGCCGTCGTGAGGTTTTGAATGGTGGAGGAGCCCTTTGAGCTGGAGAGCCTCGAGGATTTGATTCAACGTCTCCAAATCATGAGACGGCTCGATTAGCCCTCTCGTTTTGATCCTCTTCTCGATCTCCCCGTAGATCGTGAAGGCGGTCTGTCGCGTCCGGGCAGGGAAAACGTCGCCGGAATCGAAGAAGCTTTTCCGACCAGGCGGAGCTGCTGCGGTCAATCCTCCGTTTGTTTCGGATTTTGGAGACATTTTTGGTGAATAATTTTTCGGATCTGGATCACGCGCTTCCGTTGAAAAATTCTCCTTAGTCGCATTGGAATTGAGAGCGTCGATGAATCGAGAATTGAACAGATCCCTGGAGACTCTGGATTCGGATGCGGATCTCCGGAGCTCCGGCTGACCCGGCAACTGCTCGAGACCCATGAGCCTCGCGATGACGCTCGGGCTCCGCTGGCCCTGGCCTCCATCAGCTGCCGCATTTTTTGGGCGGAGAGACCCCTTGGCGTCGGTGGTGGCCCTGCTGTCGAGCGAAAGCCGCGGTGCATCCTTGCGAGACCTCCTATTCCTCTCTTTCAATTCGAATGCCGGCAGGGATGAAGCTTGTTTGGACAGTAGCTCCGCCGCCGCCGGATGTTGCTTCGATGCCGGATCTTCCAATTCCGTCGAGTTCGCCGGGGACGGTGGGGTCGATTTATCGGATATGTCCACAGCCTAATTAAGTGCAGGAAAAGGTAAGAAATAGATTAGGACATTAGAGATGAGAATTGAGATGTTTGAGATAATAAAATGCAAATGAAGGGTTAATATGACGGTGATGGTACCGGTGAGGAGGGGAGGCGCCCGGCGGCGGAGTAGAAACGTTTTCCGGTGAGAAAACGGTGGCGATCGAAGATGTGAAGCCAGCCAACCATACAGCCCATTTGTTTCTGTAACTGCTTCTCCTGATTGTGATCCTTCATCATTTTTTCCGTAGTCATTTTCCCCAACCTGTTTCTTCACTCTATCATACGCACAAACTGTTCACTGAGATTTCAGTCATGTGCTCTCTCTCTCCCTCTCTCTGCTCTTTGTTGCTGACTGACTGACTCCCGCTTTCTCTGTTTTAAAGGCGTGTATATGGAGTGAAAACGAGGTCGGGTTTGGCTAAACTGACTGGTGGGTTACTTTTAGACACCCCAATAAACTCTTGAGTAAAATATATCTGGCCAAAATAAATTTAAGTACAACTATAAAATTAAACTTCAAAATTATTTAATAAAATAAAAAAATTTGTTGTTGTATGTGTTGTAAAAATAACAAATAGAAATAAAAACTAATTGAAAAAAAAATTGAGAAAAAAATTCAATATATGGTAGAGTTAGACATGAACACGAACACTTAACTGGCCTGTGGTCAATGGACCTTGAATCGGGCCAGTGGTTTGTCAAACTCGGTTTCGGGCCACATATATGTACTTTTTAAACTGGCAGTTCGATCTTTTTTATTTTATTTTTGATTTCTTTTATTTTTTTTAAATGAATCGGGTCGATCCGAAACCGGTGGATCACCAAATCTGCCCGGAACCGCCATCGAACCAGTCTGTGCATATGCTCGAGCCGGTTCAGGGCAAGTTCAGGGCCCTACAATCCTTGACCCAGAATCGGGTTCGGAATTGGTTTTGGTCATGTCTAAATAGTGTGTGTTAATGTTCTCTATTGTTGTCATCCAATCTGACGTAAGCGTATATGGATGACACATGGCAACCTATCACCTAATGGCGTCCTCAGTATCGGAAAATATGACAAACTAATTAGACTACTTTCAATCTCTCATCAACCAGCTCAGACATCAAGGGAACACAGACCAAGGCATCTGACCCCCTTGATCGGAGGTCGGACTATGAAACATTACAACATGAAGATCAACTAAGCTATATGGAGTACTCAGATCATACTCCATAAGAAGACCGACCGGATTCCTTCAAAAGTCGGACTCTAACAGAGCATTAAATGCTGAAAATACATGTGTCAGCCATCCTATGGAAAAGCGACTGTTCGGCGTGGGACCCGCCCGACTGTTCTGCACCTTGCAATCAAATCTCATTTAACAGTAATCATGTCAGTACATGTAAACCTCGAAGATTGTACCTGTGGGTTTGATAGTATAAATACCCCACAATTATTATATACAAAGAGGCTGATGTTTAGAAATTCATGTGCCCTCAAAATACTCTCCAATTGAATATAGCAATCCGAGTTGTTTTATATATACAATTCTAAGGCAGTCCGACCTCATTCTATATTCGAACCTGTTTATTTAGTTTTATTTACATAACAATGCCTTTGTTCACACGATAATTTCCTCTTAAATTCTGCTTAATCTTAAGAGATTTCTCTAAACCCGTTGTTGCAAGTTTTGCATATACATAAACGCAGCGCAACATTAAAGGAAGTTTTTCCAACAATTTTGAAGATAGAGTTGCATTTAGAACACTGTAATTGCTCTAGTTTATTTGAGTTTATGTTGACAAATGTTTATTTGAGCTTACATCTATACTTATATAAAGAGTCATCTCATTTACTAGAATTAGTAGGAAGAAAAGTCAACGGTAATTAATGCATTATATTTCCATCAATTAATTTTTATTTAATTGTTTTCCCCCATAAAATCGGTACAAAAAAAAATCTACGTAAAACAAAAAAAAGGCATATTTGATCGGAAGATAAAATCTTGATTTTACCAAAAATAAATCAGATGTCAAGCCTAAATTGAAGGGTTTGGTTGCCTATATAGATATTGATTTACGTAAATCAATACATCTAATATTTATAGTTTGTGTAGATTTAAAATTCATTCTTATCTTTGTACAAAAAATCTTATCTAATTGTATGAAAAATCTGATCTGATTTGTTCCTCTACATATAATGTAATTTCCGTATATCAAGATCAATATATATATAATAAGAATTAACATTTTTCAAAAATAGTAAGTCAAATTTTGGTCAAAATCCTATCTGCATTAATTACATGCCACTTTTGGCAACTTTTTTTTTTCTTACGAAAAAATCGGGCAGCATTAAATGCTGCCCTTAAAATGTGGGATTTGTTCAATCACAATTGATTTGAACACATTTTTAGAGATTAAGACCCTTATTTTAAATTAAATTTCAAAATACAGTCAAAATTTATATAACCGACTAAGATTTGTAACATTTTTTTTTAAAACAAATAGACATTCAAATAGAAAATGAGACTTCATTTCCGGTATTCATTTTTTTCGACTGAATAAAATTCAGATTTCGACCGAAAATTGATAAATTATTCCAGATCCGTCCATTAAACTTACGAAATTTCTAAAATCTACACAAAAAAAAAAAAATATGAATCAAGATAATTGAACAACACATTACATAAGTCTCGATATTCAAAAGAAAAGCTTTTGAAATGGTCGAAATAGTAACAACAGAGTCAGTTTTTCATCGGTTTCGACCAAAAACAAACATAAAATCTTAGAACACACAAAAAAATATGACAATCAAAAGAAATAAAATAATAGAGGCATCTTAACATAAAGACAAGATATAATATCGATCTATCTAACATAAGAAATCGACTCGCAATAGATGTGATTGATTGTTTAAAAAATAGAGCATTTTTGTGAAAATTTGAAAGAACATTTTATCAAGTTTCTATAAGAGATATAAGAGAGAGAATAGAGAAGGAAAGCGGTGGGAGAAGGAGAAGTAATGACATAACCCTAATAATTTGGATATTTTTAACTTTTTTAGATGGCATCTTTGATTTCTGACCGTTAGATATCGATTGACAAATTCAGACCGTCTGGTCCATTCTTTTAAGCCATAACGTGTTGAGATGTTGAGTCGCACTTAATGATTCGGTCTGCTTTCATGGTTGGACTTTATTTGGGTCAATTTAATAATATGTTATTGGCCCGTTAAGTTTGACCCGACCAATTTAGTTGAGTACATTATATTGTGGAACATAATTGGGCTTCAATTTATTTTTTTGTTAAAAAAAGACAGGCTTCGCTATGTAAAAATAAATAAATATATAAATTTCATAAATTATTATAGCCGTGCATAGCACGGATTACTCAGTGTAGTAATAATAATAATAATAATAATAATAATAATAATAATAATAATTTTTGAAACCTTGCGGACTCAAATTTTCACACAGGACATCATAATTCTCTTTAAAAAAGGTATCAATAGTGATTCCTCACTTACGTGACTCGAACTCGAAACTCATTTATAATTGTTATTTAATATTGTTTACCTGTGCATCGCACGGGGTACGCACTAGTTCTTTCTTAAAAATCTTAATAGATTTTTTCTTACGTATTATAAAACTTTTATTTAATATTGCATCTTATAATATAATATTCCCCAAATAAATATATCTCGTGCCTCGCACGATTCACATACTATATATATTCCGTACATTTTTCTTTATTCATGTATATAATTATAAACCTTGATCAATAACTTTAAAATTGTGCACTCCGTGCATCACACGAGCTCTGCACTAGTTTACGTCTAAACACTAGTGAAATTAAAAATTGACTTGTCACGAAATAAATGTTGTGTGATAGACAAGATTACACTTTGTCAATGGTCATGATTACCGATAGTTTGACTAAAATAAAACTAATTTGGAGTTTCAATTACCATCAACGATGAAAAATGAAAAATAAAAAGTAATTATAATCATAGTTTTTGACTTGTTATTGACGGGTTATGTATTACGAGTGTTTAACAATATTTCGATCAATTATACCATAAAAATTATATAATTACAAAATTAATGAAAGCTCAATATCAAAATTATTATCCTGCATTAATATATAGTATCATATCGAGTCAAAATTATTATCCTGCTTAATATATAATCCTGAATCAATAAAAAATAGTAAGTTTTCCACTAAATTGTTTCGTTGTCACAGCCACATTCTTTTATTCATTATACATAACTCCATAATCAAATTTCATACTTTACAAACCATAACATGCATAAATAAAATATGATTGCATTATATTGATACAAATATTTTTATAAAAATAATATAACTTGCTGACATTTCTCAGAGAATTAATAATTCCAAGTTCCAACTACGTTATTGGACTCAAACCAGCTTTTGTATGTATGTTCAGTTTTCGTATTCGCATGAAAAGCAACAGTGTTAGTACATGCTAGGCTACTATAAAAGTATAAATATGTAGAAAATTTTGTACATTAAAAACAATTAAATACTAATATACTATGCTCCAAAATAACTAATGTCCCGCAATGCATATTTTAACTGTCTTCTATGGGATATAGCACATGATGTGATTGCTTACGCATGGAACTCTTCGACGACAAATTGTCGCGTAAATCTAATATATTATAATTTCATTTCACATTTTCTTTTTATAACGTCATCTTTCAAAATAATATAATCCCAAAAACATAGTATAATTGTGAATATAGTTTTTGGATTAATATTTAAATTTATGAGGCCTTCGACTCTGTTTTATTGTTTAATTCAATTAGTAATTCAAGACGAGACGGTTAAATAAAAAATATTGATGAACCGATGATTTGGACTTGTCACGCTCCCTTCAAAATTTTATAAATTTGCATATTCTCATTACTTATTTTTCATAATTTGAATGTTAACAACATCAACTTTACTTGATTTTGTCATAAATTTAATAAATGAGGGAAGATAATTACCCCATAAAGCAAA